CCAGTTTTATAAATTGGCATTTCATTTTGATTTCTATCTTTAAACAGTTACTTAATACTATATAATATTTTATTTTAAGTCAAGAATGAAAATGGCTGAACAGAGCAGTTGAAAATCGCTACCGTAGTATACTGACCCAAGTATTCTCCTTTTTTAATATCCCCCTTGCAAAGCACCTGGTGCAAAACACGAGACCTCTTAATTAAATATAGATGTTTTTAAATTTTTAGACTACTTATTGTAAGTGTAAAATACATATATACTTGAAAATTTTTTTTTCTTGCGACACTGGCTCACTGCTATATAATATATCTGGGTCTTTGTAAGTTTTCTGTTGGGTATTTTGTATTAAACCCCAGGTCTTTTGGTCAGTACACTATGGTATTCTGATTTATATTGTGGTGCTATGAAAATAACAATGATGAAAAGCACTCAAATGGTAGAATTACTCAAAAATATAATAAAATCATTTTGATTACTATTTTTATTTATTACAATTTTTTATTATATAATAAAATTATAATATTTTTAATATTATTGTAGTAACTTTCACATTATTTTGTATTTTTAAAAACTATTGACCCTATTTCACATAAATTAATCTTGTTATTTATTTTTCAACTACAAGTATAACACCAAATTAAGATTTAAGTAAATTAACTATACCTTTTAGTCCCCATCAAAATACCTATAGCCAAACTCTAAAAAAAAAAAAAAAAAAAAAAAACAAATATTAGCTTGTTCTAAACCAACAATTAAACTAAATAAAGAATTCTAACGAACCATAATAAAAATTAATTCTATGATGATCGTCATTGAACCTTAGAGTGTATTAGCAAGTGTAAGATTCTTAAAGTGTTCAGGAAGGATAGTCTTGGTGTAAATATTTACCAAATATAAACTAGGTATCACAAAAATATTACAGTAGCGATCAAACTATCGTATGCCCTGCTTTCGGTATCCCAAAATAATACTTCATGATTAAGAGCTGGATATTACTCATCGTCACTACCAACCTGTTTCTTGAATAAAACCTAGGGTATATTAATTTCTACCTTTAATATGATATATTCCAAATATAGTGCCTAGTTTTTCATGGGTACTATTCAATTTTAAAGATGGAATTCTTAAATAAGACCTGGCATTGTAAACAGTATAATTGCGAATCAAGTTTTTTGATACGCAATCTAGATTAGTGTTAGTTCCTAAAATTGATTTTTATTAAAATTAAAAAGAAAAAATCAGCTCTACCAATAGTCATTTCAATTTTTTTTTAAAAAAAATAAATTTATTACTTATGACTCATTTAATCCGTGAAGTATATTGAAACACCAATTCTGTACAAATATCCTATAATAAAATAATGTAATACTGTAAAAATTAGACCACACTATGACACAATATTAATAGAGTAAAGAATCTTTTCCATAATTATCGAATCCTGTGACTGCCATAATAAGTCTAATTCAAGAGATCTATTATCTGCCAAAATCATAAATTTTATTTGCTGTTAAAATTCAGTGTTGACATTTGGAATATATTTATATTTTTTAAAAAATTTGGACATAGTCCAAATGTATATGTCCAATTGAAAAATGACTATTCATATTTTGTTCGTATTATTTTAATTAATCCAAATGCCAACCTTGTTAAAATTTAAATATTCTGTTGTAAAGCTTTACCATTATTGTAGATGAAAAAGAGATTTCAAAAAGACGGTTGTGCTACAAAATACATCATGATAAGCGATCAATATCAGATTATTCCGAAATTGGCAATAGTGGACGTAAACAAAATCTGCGAAGAAAAGCCTATTAAGATAATCGAAGTTCTGAATGGAACGTCTAAATTGAAGTTAAAAGTGCACTAATATTAGTGATACTTGATAGAAGAGAATTGTGAAATGCTAGCCTACTTTTGTGTTATAAAAAGCTTTATCATTAAGATTTAAAGCTTTCTATTCAGAAGAGGTAATTGAAATAAAAAGCAGTGGATACAAACAAAATATGAATCAGAAAGTCCACAAAGAAAAGGTGGCACATGATATTTGAGATAACTCAATTAAAATTCTAAATAGAATGTCGAGATAGAAGTTAAAGAAGGTCAATAATATTACTTTTGCGTAGTGTTGGACAATAAATATCATATGACTTACATGACTTCCATATCCAGGGTTGGCACATTTGTCATTAATATGAATAGACTCCAAGTAGAGCTTGGATCTAGTCATCTGTTTTCATATTAAATTTAACGAATATCTGACAGATTTTATTATTAAATTTGCATCTAACGGATAACTGGATCCAAGCTCTAACTCCAAGTCTATTGACTAGTTCCATTGATTTCTATTTCAATAAAACAATAGACAAGTAAGTCATGTGATATTTGAGATTTTTTGGTGTTGACCTTATTTTGACTTATGCTAATAGACTAATGGAACAATGGACAAATAGATTATGATATTGGTCTATTGAGATCTATTGACAATCTTATTTTCAATGAACATAATTCATCGCAACCCTGTCCATATCAATGTTCCTATTCAAACAATTACCGGTATTTAAATTTGAATCATTCTGAAAGATATAAAAGAGGTGCAATTTCGCTTTTGTAAAAAAATAAGACTTTGGATTTAAAATATTGTCTTAGATAAAATCTTTTTTATACAATACGAAAGAAACAAACATACCTTATTATTTATTATATATACTTTGTGCATATATATTCCCTTTTTTAAAATGTCAAGAAAATAACAATTCAATACAAAAATCTTGAGCAAGGGTGTTATAGACCCTAGCTCGTATTATGGAATTTGGTCCAAATTTTGGTGGGAAAAGGTTCATTTGAAATTAGTTGATGAAACAAAATATTTTGTAATATCTTATCGTTTATACATGGTCATTGAATATGAACTTAACAATAAAATCTTCAGTGTTGCAGTTGTACAAAGTGCACAAAATCTATTAAAGCCTGGATTTCAATGTACCTGCAATACAATTAAATCTAATATTGAATCAAATTTATCAGCAGCGATTAAAGCATGTTATCAAAAAGTTTTTAAAACAAAAACAGAATACTCTGGTCCAGCTATTATAGGTTTTGAAAATGAGAATATTATTCGACAACTAATTAATAATATTGAATTTTTTTTTACTTTTTCTTCAAATTGAAGGTTTTAATATAACAATAACAAGTATTGGTAACCTAGATAAAAATAAATTCTATAGAGTCGGTACTGGTTTTGTTTCTTTGTTTACTATACATTATTGTGACGCACAACGTCTGTTTGTACTTAAAATTAAAAAAGAACAATGTAATTTAGAAATTTATTTAGAATTAGAATGTACACATCAATTCATAGGACAAACTCCAGATGATGTTTGGAATAAGGTAGAAATTCATAAAAAATATACCAGATCGTATATTTTTAGAATTACAAATGAATTGGTTTGAGAATATATAGAGATACTAAAGAGTAGATCACCAACATATATGCCAAATGACTAGATAAATATATAACAGCTTGAAAAAGTATTTAATCATCATATAAAATCATGAAAAATTCCTAATACAATAGAAAACTAGCTACTTATCTTTTATAAATAGCATCAACAAACAAGCATAGTTATTCAATTCCCGCTTATATTACAAAAAATTTACCCATCTGAATATACTTTTCAAAAAAAGAATTACGAGCATAGCAGTCAATGTTTGTTGCTTGTGGTGTATCAATATAATACCTGTTCCAAAAAAAAATCTTTAATAGAGTTCTGGAGCAAAGCATCAGACCCTATGGCAGACAAAGAATTACTAAAAACTCTTTATAAAAATGATATCATCCAATTCCTACAAAATTTATAACCAACACAAGATTTAACTTTTTGGGATAGTTTTCAGGATGCATTACTTTCGAATAAAAGAGGATCCGATAGTAAAATTCGTATTCTTTCTATTATTACCCAGAAATTCACATATAGCACTCTCAGAAGGGAATCAAGCATAAGTAATGATTCGATAAATAGTACCAGAAAATATGTATAGCTTTATAGCCCAGGTGCACCACTTCTGCAAAAGCTAAAAAGAACAGCTTCAAGGCTTACCAATATTCAGAAAGAACAATTTCTGTCATTTTTTCAAGATAGAGATAATGTTATAATGAGTTCGTACTATACAGATTCAAAAGAATCACCAATTCTATATTTGCGCAATCAAAAAAGTGAAATATGGAAAAAATTTTATAAAACTTACCCAGATGGTATGAAAAGAACTAGTTTTATAGCTCGATTAGCTGATTCAGAAAACCTTAAATATCATCAAGATCTTGGTGGATTATGTATAATTTGTCATGACTACGGATATGATACCTTTGATAATTTGGAAAATATTATCCGTTCTAATTTTACAGACAAAAATTTCATGCTTAGTAAATAATTATTTAATTTTTAAAATTAGAGTAAAGTATAAATTTCTTAGACACGCTTGCTTAAGAGTAAAGATGCTGGTGAAATAAAGCCAAGGTGCTGAAGTAGATTTATCACTATTGGTTTGAATTAGTAAAATTGGTAAAATTAATTTTACCAGCATCTCTACTTGAGCAGTCTAAAAGTTTTTTGTATCTATACCTTAATTGATAATTTAAAAATATTTTTTTTACTAACCAATTTTATCAGAACAACTTTTAGAGTGTCTCAATAAACTCAAACGGCATCTTAGATGAGGCTATAAAAATGAGCTAACAGTTAGAGCAGATGGTCATGTAGAACACAATCCTTGTATTTCCTACTGTCTACCTTACATATTCAGTGAATGCGTTAACAGTTACGAAATATGATGCTCCAACTGTGATGAATTGTTTAATTTTTTAAATTTTATTCATAGATCAGTACCATTAAATGATTTATATTTACAAATCAAAGAATCTAGAGAAAAATTATTATATTACCTTTCACATCAAACACGAAAAGTCTATCTAAACGCCCAATTTAAAGCAATATTAGCGAAGCTTGACTTCGATGATACGCTTTTCATTGCAGACTATAAAATGCGAATAATACCTCAGTCTGCACGTGAATCAAAAAGTGAATTTTTTGGAAAACACAGTTGGACCCTATATATGATTTTGGTCTTTACAAAAACAAAGTCAATCCCAATTAGACATTAAAGCATATAACCACTGGTCAACAGATACCAAGCAAGATGCTTGGTTTACCGTATCAGCATTTGAAGTTATATTTGAATCGATGGAAAAAAGTCTAAATGGATTAAAGTTATATCTGACAATGGGCCTCATTATCATAATACTGAATTAATATCAATAGTTGGATATTGGCATGAGTGGTATGGTATTGAGGTTCATAACTGGTTGTTTTTGAAATCTGGGGAAGCAAAAACAACAGTAGATTCACATCATACTGCAGTTAATATATTATATAATGATATATGTGCTTTTTTTTTAATTGCACTATTAAAAATACTCACTGTTATTAGATAACATATGCAATAAAGTGATATTTAAGAATTGGACTCGATATAGCAACAAGAGATGATATAAGCCAGGCAATTA